TTGTGCATGGTGTTAGGTCGAGGTCTAAGCCCACTTTTTTGCATGTGGTTGTCCAGTTATGCCAGCACCATTTGTTGAAGAGGCTTTCCTTGTTCCACTTCACATTTCTTGCTACCTTATCAAAGATAAGATATTCATACATTTGGGGTTGTATGCATGGATATTCCACCCTGTTCCATTGGTCTGTGGCCCTGCCTTTTTTCCAGTACCATGCTGTTTCAATTATTACCGCTTTGTAGTAGTTTGAGGTTGGGGAGGGAAATGCCTCCCTACGTCTTTTCCCCAAGAATTGCTTTAGCTATTCATGGGCGTTTGTTGTTCCATATGAATTTCAGGAGTGCTTGATCTATTTCTTTGAAGAATTTCCTGGGTATCCTTATAGGGATTGCGTTGAATCTGTATAATGCTTTCGGGAGTATTGCCATTTTGACAATGTTGATTCTTCCTATCCATGAGCAGGGGATATGTTTCCATTTCCTCGTGTCCTCTTTTATTTCATGGAGTAGTGTTTTGTAGTTTTCATTGTAGAGATCCTTTACCTCTTTAGTTAGGCTGATTCCAAGGTATTTGATTTTCTGGGGCACAATTGTGAACGGGATTATTTTTTCATGTTGCTTTCCTCTCTCTCATTATTTGCATAGGAAGGCCATGGATTTTTGTGCAGTGATTTTATAGTCTGCAACTTTACTGTACAAGATTATTGTATCTAGGCGGTTCTTGGTACAGAATAGGATTCTCGAGATATAGTATCATAACATCTGAGAATAGTGAGAGCTTGATTTCTTCCTTTCCTATCTGGATATCTTTAATGTCATTTTCTTCCCTAATCACTATTGGAAGTACTTCCAGTACTATGTTAAATAGAAGTGGTTATAGTGGCATCCTTGTCTTGTCCCTGATCTTGGAGGAAAGGCCCTTAGTTTTTCCCCACTGAGGATTTAATGTTTGTCATGGGTTTGTTGTAGATGGCTTTGACTTGTCTTGAGGAGAGTTTCTCCAAAACCCATTTTGGTGAGAGTTTTCATCATAAACGGGTGCTGGATCTTGTCAAAAGCTTTCTCTGCATCTATTGATATGATCATATGGTTTTTATCTTTACTTTTGTTGATGTGATGGATTATGTTGATTGTTTCTGAATGTTAAACCATCCTTGCATCCCCAGGATGAATCCCACTTGGTCTTGGTGTATGATCTTTTTGATGAGTTGTAGGATTCTATTTGCTAATATTTTGTTGAGTATCTTTGCATCTGTATTCATCAAAGATATTGGCCTATCGTTTTCTTTGTTGATGGTTTCTTTGTTTGCTTTAGGTATTAAGGAGATATGTGCCTCATAGAAGCTGTTTAGGAGAGTTCCTGTTTTTTCAATTTCCTGGAAAAGCTTGAGGAGAATTGGCAAAAGGTCTTCTTTGAATGTTCGGAATAATTCAGTACTGAACCCGTATGGGCCTGGACTTTTGTTTTTGGGAAGACTCTTGATTACCCCTTCAATTTCCTTGATATGAATGAGTCTATTCAGGTATCCCAAGTCTTCCCGATTCAGTCTTGAGAGATTATAGGAACCCAGGAATTTTTCCATTTCTTCTAGTTTCTCTTGTTTTATGGCATACAAATGCTCAGATTAGTATTGGTTTCTGTTGTAATGTCCCCCTTTTCATTTCTGATTCAGTTTATTAGGGCTCTCTCTCTTTCTTTCTTTCTTTGTGAGTCTTGCTAGTGGTTTATCAATCTTATTTATTTTCTCAAAGAACCAGCTCTTGGTTCCATTCACCTTTCAGATTGTTTTTTTGGTTTTCATGTCATTAATTTATGCTCTAAGTTTTATTATTTCTTTCCTTCGACCGGGCTTAAGTTCCTTTTGTTGGTTTTTTTCTAAGATCTTAAGCTGCGTGGTTAGGTATCTATGTAGGCCCTTTCTTCTTTCCTTAGGAATGCTTGCAACGCTATAAATTTTCATCTTAGCATGGCTTTAGCTGAGTCCCACAGGTTTTGGTAGCCTGTATGTTCATTCTAGTTTGTTTCCAGGTATCCTTTGATTTCGTCTTTGACTTCCCTCCTGACCCACTGATTGTTCAACATTGAGTTGTTTAATTTCCAGGTGTTTGATTTGTTTTTCGATGCCTTTGTGTGATTTGCTTTGATATTTAGTGCACCGTGGTCTGAAAAGATTGTTGATACTACTTCTATCTTCTTGATTCTATTGAGGTATTTTTTGTGGCCTAGCACATGGTCTATTTTGGAGAATGTTCCATGTGCACTGGAGAAGAATGTGTATTCTTTCTTTTCGAGATGTAAAGCCCTAAATAGGTCTATTGGCCCTCTCTCTTCTATTTCTTCCTTCAAAGCCAACGTTTCCTTGGTGAGTTTTGTTCTTGTTGGCCTATCAAGAGGTAATAAGGTGATGTGACGTCTCCAACTACTATTGTGTTGCTAGCAATGTCCTTCATAAAATCGGTTAGCAGTTGTTTTAAGTATTTAGCTGGTCCCTCATTAGGTGCTTATACATTTAAGAGTGTGATTTCTTCCTGTTTTATGTATCCCTTGATAAATAGAAAACAGCCTTGACTGTCCATTCTAATATTTTTCAACCTGAAATTTATGTTGTCAGATACTAGTTTGGCCACCCCAGCTTTTTTGAGGGAGCTGTTTGCTTGCAGGATTGTTTTCCATCCTTTAACTTTGAGTCTGTGTTTGCTCTGATTGTTCGGATGTTCTTTTAGACAGCAAAAAGTTGGTTTCAGTTTCTGGATCCATTTTGCCACTCTGTGTCTCTTGATTGGTGCATTTAGACCATTGACATTGAAAGAGATTATTGTCATGGGGTTTTGTGGCATCTTTCTGTAGGGTTTGGTTTCGTTCATAAGTGTTTTCCTTCTTATCTTAAGGAGCCCCTTTAATCCTTCTTTTAGATTTGTTTTTGAGTCTATGAAGTTCCTGAGCTTCTGTTTATCTAAAAAACAGTGTATTGTTCCATTGAGTTTGAGTGAGAATTTAGCTGGATAAAGTATTCTTGGCAAAGAGTTCATTTCATTGAGTTTTTTCACTGTATCTCACCATTGCCTTCGGGCTTGGAGGGTTTCTTCTGATAGGTCTGCTGTAAATTTAAGGAGTGCTCCTTTGTATGTGATTTCTTTCTTTGACCTTGTTTCTTGTAGTATTGTGTATCTGTCCACAGCATCCATCGTTCTGACTATGATATGCCTTGGAGTGTTTTTATTAGGGTCTCTTTTAGCTGGCACTCTTCTGACTCCTTGGATCTGGATGTCTGCCTTCTTCAACTCTGGGAACTTTTCAGCAATGATTTCTTTGACTGTGGCTTTTTCATTGGGGCTGCCTCCCTGTCTTTCTGGTACTTCGATGATTCTAATGTTGTCCCTCTTCACGTCATCCCCTAGGTCTCTGATTCTTCTTAGAGCTATTTTGAGGTCTTTTCTCATTGTTTGTTCTCTATGTGATTTCTGTTGCTCTTCTTCAAGCTCACTGATCTTGTCTTCAGCTGTATTCATCCTTCTGCTAAGGGAATGTACTGAGTTTTTAATTTCATCTACCAAATCCTTTATTTGTGACACTTCTTTTTGTAGTTTTTTTATTTCTGCTCTTATTTCTTCCTATATTTTCTCGACTATCGGTTCTACTTTCTCTCATTTCTTCCTTTAGCTTTCTGAATATCTCCTCCATTGATTCTTTGAGTAGATCCTTGAACATCCTCTGCATTTCGTCTCGGAATTCTTTATCAGAGAGAGCATATTTGTGGATTACCACAGTTGAGGATTCAGGACTTTTTTCTCCATCTTCTCCTTGTAGTGGAGATTTTCACTGTTTCTTCATTTTGTTTTGGTTATCTGGTGATAAAACCCTGAAATTCACTAGTACTATTCTCTCTTATCATGGGAAAGGATTGTGGATAAGGTCGGTTGATGGTGGTCACCTTTCTCCCTTTCTAGAGTCTGACCTTCTTCTCAGGCATTATTCTTTGGCTTATGACAGGCATCTAGTGAAGCTTTGGAGGAGGTGCTCTTTAGTATTGAGCTTGTAGAACATTTTTGTGTACTGGTCTTTTGTTAGAATTGGAGTAGGCGAGTGGATTATTGTTGTATTGTAGTTGAGATGGCCAGGATTTTTTCCACAGAATTAGGTGATAAAGACTGGTATGAAAGTCCAGTGTGCTGGGAGTGGGATATATAACCTCAGCCGCGTGTGCGGTCACCTGCCCAGGAAAAGGCCACGCCCACTTTTGGGGAAGCCATGCCCCCTAAATGGTGGTCATGCCCAAGCCCAGTCCAGATGCTAGTCCACAGACCTGGATGAGTGAGTAGATGGAGGTGGACCGGCTCAGCTTTGGGCTCACTAGGTGTGCCTCAATTCCCGTCCTGCACAGACAAGGGGTGAAAACCGGCTCTTCTCAGGGGATCTAGTTAGACGTGAGCCCCAGGAAGGGTCCCCTGCTACCAACCGGGTACCTGGGTGAGTGAGTAGAAGGAGGCAGAACCGGCCTTGAGCTTGTGTGGTGTGCCTCAATTCTCGTCCCCGCAAACCAAGGATGAAAACTAGCTGTTCTCAGGGTATCAGTTAGATGCACACCCAGGGAAGGGACCCTACCACTGGACGGGTACATGGGTGAGTCCAACACTGAGATCTTTTGGAACCTTAAATTCCGTGTCTCCACTGCATTGTGAAGATCTTCTAGTCAGGGAGTCAGAGTGGGCCCAGGTCCTTGTTCCTGACAGGCAGGGACTGTCGTAGGGCTAGCACAGCTGTGAGGCCCCATTGGCTCCAAGTAGCCCCAAGAGTTTGTAAGGTGATAAAAGACAGCTGTGATGTGGCCACGTCTGTGGCAGAACAGTTCTTGATTGCTGCACAGTGGGGCACGGAGCTCCCCTTGGTCCTGGCTGAGGGGGTGCATCAGGCAAAAGACCACCCAAAAGCGAAGACCACCAAGAGGGTGGTGGGAATGGAGCTTTTTCTTATTTCTCCATGTAGTCCTGCATTTTAATTTTTTTCAGGGGAGAGTGTAAACATAGTCCCCCACTATAACAAAATATGCAGTTGAGTTATCAACATTTGGGGAAATCGCAAGGGTCAGCATATGAGGAGTGCAATGTATAAGCCTCTCCCTGGGAAAACCACTTTCACAATCACGGCATCTCCCTGCCAGGTCAGTATACAGAATGTTCCCTGTGACATGGGAAAATGTTAAGTTCTTCTGCTTGGGGATAGGATGTTCTGTAAACAGTCCTATTCCTAGGACCATATGACCTAGCTTGTCATTTAAGGCTGCTTCCTTAGTGTCTGGATGATTTGCTCATGATTGTAAATGTGGATGTTAAAATTCTATATTATTATTGAGTTGCAGTCAATTTCACCCTTACGTTCTATTTTTAAAATGGGGGAAAAGGTAAGATACTTAATGCACAAAAGCAGAAAGTGTAATCTCTAAGTTGGGGGACACAGGAGAGGAAAAAGAGAAAGGGAAGAACAACTGGTTAAAGAGATAAGAGCTCAAAACATTTCCAGTCTCTGGGGGGAAAGTTTTGCACAGATTCAAAATACCCAAATAGTACCAAGCAAAAATAGGTGCAAACAAAACAATACTAAGCACACTGAATAACAGAAAAGCAGAAATCCTAGACACACTAGTTAAAAATAAGGAAATTGAAACAGTAATTAAAAGTCTCTTCATGAATAAAATCCTGGGTCCAGATGGGTCCACTAGTGTGTTAGCTCTATCAAATCTTCAAAGAAGGTTAGCTACTTATCTATTGAAGGGCATTTGGATTGATAAAAGGTTTTGCTAATTGTGAATAAAGCTTGTCTAAACCATTTATAAAAATAATCTCCAAAAAAATGTTTAAACTATCATTTTTTTCATTCAAAGGTCACAAAAAATTTGAAAATCCTCGAAACTCTTGTCATTCACATCTCAAGGAGTGGCAGTCAGTTAATTCCACTTAAAATATAGACTAGTTTTAATATATACATATTTTATCTTATTTCTTGAAAGTTTATCTTTTTCTTAATTTAAATTATAAAATTACCTATTATAAAGATCTCTTATTTATGTATATATATTATATTTGTTTAACAAATTGTTGACAATGACAGAAGAAATGTAAAAAAATCCGAATTCAGAATTGTGTGAATTTTCTTCTCAGCACAAGATTAGCTCTTTGTTTTGAGTTTCAGATTGGAGACCATATTTTATCTCACTACCCAACTTGTTATAACCACAAACTTTATGACTGGCAGAACGGTTCTTACTTTTAAATACATCAGATGAACGATAATCCAGTGACTTTTCTGCTAGTGAATCATTGTTTATAGCCTTTTAGAAATCACAAATAAGACCTTCTCTGCAGGTAAAGACAAAGTATCTAATGTTTATATTGGGAAACAATTAACAAAACAATCAGAATCATTAGCAATTTATTACTGCTAATACATAACTGCTTCTGTAAGAAAAAAAAAATCCCTGTATTAGATTTTGAACAATATATTTTTGTTCCTTTTTCACCCAGAAGAAGCAGCAAATATATCCAGGCTTCAGGAGCAGAATGCTTTGCTATTATTTTCTCTCTCACTTTGGACAAATTAATTTATCTTTCTAATTTCCTGTTTCCATGCCTGTAAAATGGACATTATTAGTATATCAATCCACAGACTTACTAAATAATCAGTTTATCAGAGAAACAGAATGTGTAAAAAACATGCTTTTATATGACTTTTTATTTACGCAATTCTCCGGGATGGTTCAGCAATTTGGAATCCACAAGACAGTCTTAAACTGCAATTTCTTGCCCTGCTTCCCCCCATCTACACACACATAGAGTCATAGAAGAGTTTACTGTTAAATCCATACAGATTATCTGGGCAATCTTCTTTACGTCAAGCTAACTGACTGTGGAAATGACCTATATAAAACATTTTTATATTTTATACAACAATTAACATTTGACCATTTGTGTAACTGGTAACTGTAACCTAAACAAATGATACGTCCCAAGTACCTATATCACAGGTGCCTTATAAGAATAAAGAAATATGTGTAAATCATTTTAGCAATGTCAGGCACATAGTATCTACTGAAGAGTTAATTACTTGCCAGTGGTATGCAAATCATATAATTGAGGAAATCATATAATTTGGTAGATCCTTAATTTCTTCATGAATAAAATAAAAGTACTCAAGAAAAAAATCACTAAAGCTTCTTTCTTAAAAGTTGTGCTTTCTAGAAGCATTAAAGAAAAGTGTTTGGGCCCAACATGCTTCCTTTGGAGAGGAAAAACTCCTGACAAGACAGACATACCCCTTTTCCTGGGGAGTAGAGTGGAGTCCTGGATTTCAAATACTATGGGCCTATATTCCCACTCTAGCACAATATGACCCTCTGAGCACTGCCAAGGGTGGCCCTAGTGGAACCAAAGCACTACTAATATTTCTCCCAAATTTCAAGAAAATAAACCTCAAAATATTTAAAAACTGGGCCAGAAATGGTATGCAAAACACTAGAGAAACTTTAATAATCAACCTTCTGGGAGTATGGTGCCGCCAGCAGGTCAATCTGTACCTGTGAGGCGAGTGCATCAGCAGCCTCATGGCGCCTTCAGACTTCCAGATACCCCAAAATTGCTGCTGTGCCTTTGGCCAGACCCCAAAAACTTGGGGCAAAGTTTACCAAGAAAATAAACGGCCAAAAGTTAGGTATGTGGGAAACACACCCACAAACCACCTCCGGCTCAGCTATATAATTGGAAGCAAGGCCTCTTTGGTTCCTGATTGAACTGCTTAATGGCCATGATCCCAGAGACTCAGAAATTAATCTCAGAATCCAGTGGCTTTAGGTAGAAATGCGTCTGGTCTCTGCAGTAGGCTACCGGTGCTGGGCCAACCCAGGTGGGAATAGGTTTCATGCCTTGGCCTATTGCCCCTGGCAGCCCAGTGGCCACCATCCATCTGAGGCCACTGGAGAGTCACATTTGGGGCCCCAGTGACGAGACACGCAGGGCCTCACGGGATGAGGGTGGAGCTGGGCTTGTCCTCCCCACCCCAACGAGACCCCAAGTCATCGCCCACGAATGTCCTCTCTGGCTTCTGATCAAGCTGCTTAACGGCCATGATCCCAGAGACTCAGAAACAAATCTCAAAACCCAGTGGCGTTTGGCAGAAATGCATCCGGTCTCCACAGTACGTTACTGTCGCTGGGCCACCCCAGGGAGGAAAGGGTGTTGTCCCTCCGCCTGCTCCCTCTTGGCGACTTGGTGGCTGTCATCCTCCAGAGGCCATTGGACAGTCAGGCTTGGGTCCGCAGTGACAAAACTTGTTGGGTCTCACGGGATGGGAGGGGGGAGGTGGAGCCGGGCCTGTCCTCCCCACCCTAACGAGACCCCAAGTCATTGCCCACAAACGGCCTCTCTGGCTCCTCATCAAGCTGCTCAACGGCCTTGATCCCAGAGACTCAGAAGCAAATCTCGAAACTCAGCGGCTTTTGTCAGAAATGTGTCCGGACCCCGCAGTAGGTTACTGTCGCCGGGCCACCTCAGGGGGGAATGGGTGCTGTCCCTCTGCCTGCTCCCTCTTGGCAACTTGGTGGCTGTCATCCTCCAGAGGCCATTGGACAGTCAGGCTTGGGTCCGCAGTGACGAAACTTGTTGGGTCTCACGGGATGGGGTGGGGAGGTGGAGCCGGGCCTGTCCTCCCCACCCTAACGAGACCCCAAATTATCGCCCACGAATGGCCTCTTTGGCTCCTCATCAAGTTGCTCAATGTCCATGATCCCAGAGACTCAGGAGCAGATCTCTAAACCCAGTGGCTTTTGGCAGAAATCCCTCCAGATTTAAGTGTTAAAATTTGAGAATTTCAAAACCACATGGCCCTACTGCAGCCACACAACATCATATGTTATTCATAACCAGCAATAGAACACAAATTGTCTATTGTTGCCTTTTCAGCAGATCTGAGTGTTGGGGTAAAATCTTAAATAATGGTGGGTCTGATGTTGAAATAGTGAATGTGATCAAAGTAGAGAGAGAGAGTAATGTAGAAATCAAGGCAGGGGGAGGGTGTGGGATGGGGGTATACTGGGATTTTTGGTGGTGGAGAATGGGCACTGGTGAAGGTACGGGTGTTTCATTGTATGACTGAGACTTAGACCCAAAAACTTTGTAACTGCTCTCACGGTGATTCAATAAATAAAATTATTAAAAATGGAAAAAGAAAAAAAAAGTAAGGTGGAGTTCATGCACAATTCAATCAGCAAGTCAGTGGCTGAATAAATAGCAGTACTCCTACAAAAAAAGAAAAAAAAAATCAACCTTCTTTAAGTGGTGCTAGGAAAACTGAATGGCTACTTGTAAAAATGAACTTAGACCTCTAATGCTATGCACAAAGGTAAAAGGTAAAGGTAAAGACCCTCCCGTTGATCATCCATTTGCTCGAGCGGGCCCAGTAACGTCTCCATTGGAGACTTTGTTGTTACTGTGTCTGGCATATCGAATACTCTCGGTAGCTTGCCGGGCTCTCCGAGAGGGGCGGAGGAATCGAACTCGGGTCGGCCATGTTGGCCACGTGCAAGGCAAATGCCCTACCTGCTGTGCTATCGCTCCAGCCCAAAGGTCAGGTCAAAATGGATTAAAGACCTCAACATCAAACCTGAATCCATATAGTACATGGAGGAAAATATCGACAAAACCCTCCATGACATTGAAGTTAAAGGCACCTTCAAAGATAAAACACCCCTGATAACACAAATAGAAGCAAAGATAAATAAATGGGACTATATTGAACTAAGAAGCTTCTGCACCTCCAAAGAAACAGTGACTAAGATAAAAACATAGACCATGGAATGGTAAAAATTATTCACCCATGTGGCAAGGAGTTAATATCAAAGATTACAAGGCACTGGTAGAATTTTACAATAAAAAAATACCCATCCCCATCAAAAATTGGGGAGGATAAATGAATAGAAATTTTCTCAAAGAATAAATTTAAATGTCCAAAGTCACATAAAAAAATGCTCTTCATTACTAATCATCAGTGATGCTCAGGGGTTATTCCTGGCAGTTAGGAATTACTCCTAGCAGTGCTTGGGATGCCTGAATTGAACCTACGTCAGCCAAATAAGTGCCCTTCTCAACCAAGTATACTGTCACTTTCACACCACTTTTAAG